AGCTTCGAGACCCATAATTTCGAAAGCATAGAGAAGTCTGCCCGAGCATATAACTCGTTGACCTCTGTAGTCGCATGTGAGCTGCTCTGTACCCTTCTCACTGCACTGGGCCCTTCCCCGAGCGCTGCTTGGCAAGAGAGATCCCGGATTTTTTGTGAGACTGCCTGCAAATGCATCTGCGAGCGCATCTGCGAGTGCAATTGCATCTCTACGGCTGCCAGTTTCGTGGCTGGGCCGGCCGAGTGCGTTGTGCGATGCCCAGAAGAGTTGGGCGGAGTTTCCATTCCGTTCAAAAAACTCTTGCTTTCGAGAGAATTCCCCTTCATTGCAACCTTCTTAAGTTTTTCTGCCTCTGCCTCTGCTTTGCTCTGCCTCTGTCTTTTGGACTTCGAGGCGGAGAGGAGCTTTCTGAGCGGCTTGCAGGCGGGGGGGGAAATTAATTCTGGAGGGGGGGCGCGAGAGCGGTGTGCGGTCTTCTGAGAGGCATCGATATGAAGAAGAAGGGGGGGGGAAGGGGGGAAGGGGGAAGGGGCTTCTCTGAGTTTCTCTGAGCGGAACTCTTCCTTGAGAGGCCAGCCCCGGCTGCACCGCATCGCCCAGCATTCACTTCCCTGGCCGGCGGCTTAAGTTGGGAGTTGTGTGGGAAGGCGTCTGTGATATGTGTTGCTTGGTAGTGTCTGAGTTCCAAGAGCTCTTCTTGTGAGCCCTTTGCTTCCCCCCTCATCGTCCTGCCAGGTCGGACGGCGCGAGAGTCCGCGTCCACCTTTACTTCCGGCATGGCTGGGATCCCATATGGGATCTCAGCAAGAGAAAGGAGCTTAGGGGAGCTCTGTTTAGCTCTCCGAGCATCCGCCTAGGTCCCGGTGCCCTTGCAATGCTGGCCACACTATGCATCGGTCGTGCCAACGAGAATTGACGTTGATGCCGATATTCCCTTCTTCTCCAGCTCTGACGCAGTGACTTTGAATGCCCCTTGCACGTTGCCAGACCGGGAAGCCTGCTTTGTGCAAGGGCTCGATCATGCAGGTGCTAGAGGAGCGCGTGACCTCTGCAAAATTTCAGGCGAACGGTGCCTTGGATCTTTCCTCCCAGGACACTGCCACAGGCTGGCCGGGGACCTGTCAGGGGCTCACACATGCTGCTCACACATGCATGCTGTTGCGAGTCTTGAAACACTCCAGCAAAAAATCTGTTAGGCGTCTAGACACTGCGAGATTTTGCGAATGCCCTTCTAATCTCCTGTTTAAGAGACCCGTCCAGCAGCTACGGTTGATCTTCTAGCACTTTGCGAAGATAATTTAGTTTCTTCCTCAACGCGTTTCGCCGTAACCTTTTTGGACCAGTTTTCATGGGTCTTTCTTGGCTTACAAATGCACTGCAGCTCGTGCTTACAGATACGTGAAGAGAACGGTGAGATATAGTGACCAGACCGAATTCCTTTCTCCTTTCGCCTCTTTCAATTCATCTCAACAAACAAGGAAGGCTCGCAAGCTCGCAGTTTTAGTGTCGATTTACAGGGGCCACAGAGCCTTTGTGTTCATGCGTGTATATCTGTACGAGGGAGCCTGAGACTGTCTTGATATGACTGACGCTTTTTCAACTCAAGGTTTAGGCCTGCACCTGATGCCGGACGAGACGCCAACCTGGCTCTTGCCAAAGCGTTCCCTTCTTCATTGGTTGTGTTTGCTCCTTCTGTGGCAGGTCTGAGACTTGTGAAACGCCGCGCCGTCAGACTGCTTGAAGCACTGTCCTTCGTTTTGTGCGGTGAGTGGCGTGCGTCGTCTCAGGAATTGTCGCGAGAACGTCACGTGCGCAATGTTCCAGGTCGTCGAAACCGATGCCGGGATGCAGCGCGCTGAGATGTCCAAAAAGGAAAGCACATGAAGGGACAATCGCTTTGCGTCCTGAGATCCAGTTGCCTGGAGTTGCCTGAGGTTGGAGTGCTGGCAAGGCACGGGCTATGATTGTTTTCGACACGATGCGCAGGCCTGCTGTCCTTGCGACGGGTCCCAAAGCGGTCGAGCAGCTTTCGAAAATCAAGCTTGAGCCATGCGTAGAGTCACTAAAGAACCGATGTTGAGGAGAAGATTCTGGCTGCGAAGCGCTTCTTGCGCGGACGTTATCGAGTGACTTGGCAGAACGCAGCGCAGAGTGCTCAGTCGCACTGCTCTTGTGGATTCTTGTGGACAGCTGAGGTTTTGAAAGACTTGCGTGGCTTCGAGGTGCCACACTTGGCGAGGAATGCTATATGTATCGCAGACGGGATGACGGCCACCGGCCAGTGCAGGTGACGGGATTGCAGTATGCCTTCAGCAAGACAGCCTTCGGTTCCGATGTGGAACAGGCCCCTCCGGATCTTGGCCGTAAAGTAGCTATTGAAGCTATTGAGTGCCTTGCTGACAAGGCAGTCACGATGTGCTGGGGCCTCGTGTCACAACTCATCGGGGCATCGGGCTCGCAGCGCAATCGAGTGCTGAGGCAACCACACGTGCTTATCTCACTTGACCTGTCAAGCCTGGAGATACTCCACGGGGGACAGCAACACCGGCAACACCGCAATGGCCAGAACGGTGCAAAGGGTCTTGCGCCGTGAGTAGCTGGCTCGTGCGAGGACGGATGCTGGTATGATGGGGGTGGCCTTGTATATCCGCCTTGGCCCTCAGTCGCCTCGGCTGTGCTGATTCGGTGCCGCACGGAGCTTATGCAGAGGCCTACCACTGACACCTTCCTGAAGGGCACGGAAGCAGCTGCGCTGGCCGAGTGTCCAGTGGGCCTCCCGCGGTTGCTGTAGTGCTCTGCGGTGCTTTCGAGGTCGTGGCCGGAGCCTATGTCCAGCGGCTCTGTGAGGTTCCACAGGAGAGTTCCTTGCTCCATCTTGCTCCGGAGCGAGAGTGTTTGTGATTCCCAGTTCTTCTCAGGATCTGCATGAGCACGTGTCAGCGCCTGCCACAACGATTGCCATCAGTGCCTTTCAGGCGGCGGTACTGTAGGTACTCATCTACAGTATGCATTCCACAGACTTTGCTTTACACTCGGGGGCAGGCGCTCACGACGTCCGCGCCGGTCATGCCTGGTGTGGTGCCTGGGGTGGTGCCTGGGGTGGTGCCCAACGTTGTGCCTGCCGGGGTGCCTACTGTGTCCAACGGTGTGTCCACCGAAGTGCCCACCATGGTGCCTACTGCGGTGTCCAACGGTGCGTCCACCGAAGTGCCCACCATGGTGCCTTCTGTGGTGTCCAACGGTGTGTCCACCGAAGTGCCCACCATGGTGCCTTCTGTGGTGTCCAACGGTGTGTCCACCGAAGTGCCCACCATGGTGCCTTCTGTGGTGTCCAACGGTGTGTCCACCGAAGTGCCCACCATGGTGCCTTCTGTGGTGTCCAACGGTGTGTCCACCGAAGTGCCCACCATGGTGCCTTCTGTGGTGTCCAACGGTGTGTCCACCGAAGTGCCCACCATGGTGCCTTCCGTGGTGTCCAACGGTGCGTCCACCGACGTGCCCACCATGGTGCCTTCTGTGGTGTCCAACGGTGCGTCCACCGAAGTGCCCACAAACACGGCGTTGCCTTCCGGCGCGACCACCGCGGTACCAACCGAGGTGGCAGTGGTTACCGAGCCTGCTGCGGTGCCCGCTGGGGTGATTGCCGGGGTGCCCACCGAATTGCCGACTGAAGTGCCCACCACGCCCACCGCGGTGCCTAGCGGGGTTTTTACGGAAGTGCCCACCAAAGTGCCCACCGAAATTTCCGCCGTTGTGGCCACCGGGCTGCCCACCGGCGTGCCCACCAGCATGCCTGGCACGGTGCCAGGGGTGCCCAGCGCCGTGCCCACCGGGGTGCCCACCGGAGTGCCCACCGGAGTGCCCACCGGAGTGCCCACGGCCGGAGTGCCCACCGGAGTGCCCACCGCAGCCACCACGCGTCCCGGGCTCCCCGGAGTCCCCGCGGTCGCAAGCTTAGAGGGACACACTGCATGAGATCTCGCTCTTTCTCCTTTTTCAGCTCGCTTGAAAACATAGCTCATAGCTCCCTCGTGTCGAGGTGCCGATTGTCGCGGGGACTGTTGCGGGGACAGTGTCGGCCGCGGGCGCAACAGCTGCTCTACCTCTGCAACCAGCCGCGGACTCCATAGTAACAACATCCTCATGGTCATTGTTCACCTCGACACCGAGCCCCTCAGCGAATGCCTCCTCCGCAGCCGGTGCCGCGTACGTCAAGGCCAAGGCCGGCGTTGCGAGCGATGAGGCGGGCTGCCTCCATGTGCACTGGATGTGGGATGAGGTTTGGGATGAGCTTGCATCTGAGGCGATGCAGATGCCGGGCACCTTTGTGCGGGTCCTGTCATCAGGCCGAAGAAGGGATAAGCCAGGGGCTGTGGGCTCAGTGCGCTCGTCAGTCCGACAGAAGACTGCGTTGGAGAATTGCAGGCCTGGTCTTTTACAAGAGTGTGGGGCGCCCAGCGACTCACATTGCCCGTTCTCAGCCGGATGGAATCACGTGGCCAGGACGACGACGTGTCATGCACTCAGGTCACTTACAGCATTAACGTGAGCTGCTGAGTGAATTGCACCACCTTGCTGAGGCTTCATATGGTTCCATCCGGATGCAAGGAGCTAGCTTGCTCTTCGCTCGAGTTTCAAAGTTCAGAAATGTCAGATTCGGTGTCCTTGAGCGCGACCTCCGCTGCCGCGGAAGGTTGTAGTTTGGCAAAGATCAGGTGGCGAGGATGTCATCGACCACTGCCGTGCAGCGACTTCCGTGTCTGAGGACATGCGCGCTCGATCACAAGGCATGTGAGGCTGAGCCCACTTTGTTTCCTCCAAGGAGGCTGTCATCAGTGACCGGACGGGTGAGGCCCGCAACCCAGCATATGCCACGGAAATGGACCAAATTTTCGTGGCTCTCTTGCTTTGTCTCAGGAGTTCAATTGCTCACTTGTGACCGTGGGGAGCTTGGCGTGCGAGTGAGTATTAGAAAGGTTTTCTCAGAAGCAAACGAAGACCTTAAGAGACAGCGACTGAGCGGAGAGTCGCATCTGAGGCCTCCGGTGCGAGTCTCAAACGCTGCGGCGGGTTGGGGAGGGTGGAAGTCGGTAGAGCATCATTCGGAAATCATTCGAGAGCCGTCAGTTCTTCTTGCGGTTGCAGCATTGGATGCTCAGGTGGCTCACTGAGCTGGTGGGTGCAGCACTTAGTCAAGCTCAAACTTGTTGTAGTTGAAGTAGAATTAGCCTTAGGGCCGTTCCATGGTTCCAGCTCCATATCTGTGCCGTTGCCCTAACGAGTTGATGACGCACAAAGCCGCAGGACTAGCGCGAAAGTGAGCAGACATGCAGTAAAGCAGCAAGACACCAAGAGGAATTTCGCGGTCGACATTGGCCGAGAGGTGTCGCAAGCAAGCGACATCCAGAACAATCATTCGACGGGCGCGAAGCGCCTGATGATAACGTCACATAGAATATGTCCACTTATAAACTCATAAACGCGTACGGTCCCCCAACACTTTGGTTCTCTTGTGACTTCTTGTTGGAGAGAAGGCTCCGGGCCTTGCCGAAGGAGCTGCCGCAGGGCTCGTGCACGAAGCATGCTGCCTCACGTGATCACACATGCTTCCTCCGCGTGACTTCGCTCAAGTCACCGCCACAACCACCTTCGCTGTGCCGCTTTGCCCTGCAAGCCAATTGCATTCGGAAATGTCTTCTCGAGCAGTGTCACGTGCGAGTCACGTGCGATGTCGGGTTTCGGCCTCCCAGACTTTTCGGGTCAGCTGGTCGTCCTGCAAGTTCCTCGGCTCCTCCAGAACCGGGAGCAGAAATTTGCATTGACGGCCCTGAGGATCAGGGAGGTTAGGAGGTGAGAAACCATGAAGTGAGTTCGGTCGAGACCGACTCAGTCCCTATAAGCCATGCCAAAAGACCTGAGGCGACTCTGCTCGTTCACGGTCTTAGGTGTCTGGAGGGAAGGGCGTGAAGGGCATGAAGTCTGAAGAGCCTCCAAGCAGGCTTGAAAAAATGGTGCTGTGCTTGGGCCTCACGGCGAACCGAGAACTGCTCACCGACAGATTTTTCCATTGCCGCAGAGTAGCACGGCTTCTGGGCGGATGCCTCAAAAGCTGGGCAGATTAGCAGGGGTGCCACTGGACGATCGCACAAGTATACCAAGTGACAAGCCTAACAAAAGGTCAACGCACATAGCACGCGGCTATTTCAACTTAGATAAACCGACCAAGGCCCTCCTGATATTTGCTGCAGTCCTTGCCCTTTGCTGCCTGAGCCCAAGTTTTTCGACGGCGACAGCGCGAGGCCACAGAGACCCTCGTGTCAAATGTGCGCCCTAGCACTGTGGCCATGCTTGTCCAAGCAGGTGTACATCAACCCCCGTGTCACGAGTTGACAAGCAGCGATCCCTTACAAAGAGTTCGCATAAGTTCGCATGAACAACATGCCAATCCACTGTGCAAGGCGGTCGCTATGCTGTTGTCGGGGGAGCACTGACTTTACTGCACAAGACTTCTGCGTAACCTGTACGTCTTTCGGGGTCGACATCGAGTGGGCAAAGTCCCGTTCGTAGCTGCTGTCGTTGAGAACAGGTTGGGCCTGCACCCATGCCTCTTGGTATTACTACGACGAGATTGCAGAGTTCTCGGATCCAGACCGGAAGCATTCACAGAAACAGATGTGTCAAGTCAGATGTGTGGGTCGGCTGAGGTGGATCGCTTCCCTCAGTTGGATGGCTACCTGCCGCGGGCTACGGAAGTGCAAATTGACTTGTGCGAGACATAGCCCTGGCCTTAGGCCTTTTCAATGGTGGTTTGGTGCCCGCAACTCTTTCTCCAAGTTTCAGGCAGGGCTCAGAAAAACCCAAGCCAGGCTTTGATCTGGGCCTTCCACTTCAGCATACTTCAGCTATCATGATTTCTGTTTACAGCGGAGCAACAGCTCCTTGAGGGTGGGCTGCACGATCGGAGCTCCAGATCCGCGGGAGTCACGTCAGCGGACCCAGATGTTTTCGTAGTGTGGGGCCTGGGCTGACCGCTGAGTCCACCCTCGTTGTGAGGTACGACCCTGAAGATCAGGCCTGGGGCGAAGCTGGCTCCGCATGTGTTGGCACCTTTCCAAGAGTGCTGATTGCGCAGCTCCCGCTCATGGCCGGTGCGGGCCCGCAGGGGCCCCGAGAAGAATTGTGAGAGTTGCAACAACGGCGGCCACCCAAACGGTCCCCGAACTGCTTCCACAACTCTCACAGCTTTTATTGAACAGGTACTCACAGGCATACTCGCTGCCGACCCAGCAGATGATGCCACAGGGCATGCCAGGGGCCATGCCAGGGGCCATGCCAGGGACTTCCGTGGGCCCCTGCGGTGGCCCCATCGGTGGCCCCGTCGGTGGCCCCATCGGTGGCCCCATCGGGGGCCCTGCCGGGGCCTACAACCCCGGCATGCCCTCCGGATTCACATCGCCGGGGCCCATAGAACACCAACTGCTACACCGCTCCACGCGTTAAAACTGCTTTGGTCCGACAAGGACCTACCAAGTTAGTCATGGTTTGGGCCCCTACATGGAGGCTCCACTGCCACCCACCGCCAGAGTCTCAGAGCTTCTCACCATCGGATCATGACGACATGGAGGGAACCTGCATGTGAGTGATCTTGGCAAATGCAGGAAGCTGGATATGACCTGGTGACCGTCACGCCGAGTGGATTGCAGGCGTGGCGCGGCAAGGAGAGGATGTGACCGTGGATGCCTCTTATGAGGAGTAAGAGACAGGTAACCCCGCTGGGCGATGCACCATTGCCGGCAGGTGTATGGCACCCAGATTCGCTGAAAAAGGGAAGTCGGACTACGCAGGACGTGCTTCTGTCAAGGTGCCCATCGTGAATCCGGCGCAAGTTCCCAACATTCGCCCACTTGCGTGAGATGGCCTACCCCATGTCCCTCCAACAGGGCCACCATGGGCCACCATGGGCAGGGTGCTCCAAAGTGAGAGCCTGTAGCTGCCTAGCAAGCAACAAGGCCCATGAGATTCCTCTCAATGTTCGCTTCGTCTGCTTGTACGAAGAATGCAAGCGGTGCGTTGCACCACTTGTCAGATGTGTAAATGCAACATTGGCCAAAGATGCCGCTCGGTGGATTCGATTCAAAAAGCAAGCTGCAGTGCAGATCCCGTTGGACATCGACGAAGCGCCAGTATTTCATTGATTAAGCACTTGGGACTGTAGAGTCCTTAGAGTGCTGCTTTCAAATTTAGACATTGGACAAACCTCTCTAGGACACAGAACATGAAGAGTCATCAGGGCCTTGTAGAAAGTTGGAAAGGACCCACGCCAGAGTCTAGAGCCTCGAGCCACCCAGGTCGGCACGTTGAATGATCAAGGTTCATAGTGACATGTATCATCATTCACTAGGTCTAAGAGTTATATTGCGGCTGGGAGAAGGATTAGGTGACTATAGGTTGAAATCACTGCCAAGGCAGTCATAGTCATGGTCATCATGGTCGTAGTCATGGTCATTGTCATGGTCATAGTATGCCATCGCCATGGTCATGGTCATAGTCAAGGTTACGACATTTTAGACGTCTGTAAGAAATACGCCTTTGCCTTATGCCATAGCCACCCGGAGGACCGGCTAGGGCAGGCATGGGCGAGGGTCACGGCCAGGTAAGATGAATAGACACAGAACAGAAGGATCAAATCAGACGACCTTGTGTGTGTGTGTGTGTGTGTGTGTGTTTGCCTAAGCTCCTGGTCTTGCAGCTGTTGTGCCTGGTCCTCATTTTGTCCATCTAGACCTGCGATGCTCGCATGGCTGCGCTGCCGCGCAACGGTTATTTTACGCATGCGGAATGCCCGTCGCTTTTGCAGTTGCATAACCGCTGGGCCGATCAGGGCACCAACAGCACAAATAGCAGTTTCAGCCTGGATTGGCTGTGTTGAAAAAGCGGCGCGGTTGAAAAACGTCGATACTACGCTTGCCAGCGGTCCTGGAACCTGTGGAGCAAAGGGGAGCTCGGAGCTCGGGACAACACAGCGACTGGAGCTCTGTTACGATCCGACAGCACGGCAATCCTCGCTCCAGGGGCTCACGCGGCCTACCGGAGCTTGCTGGTTATCCTCGTGCTCTTGGCTGGCTTTGGCTTCCGAAAAAGAGTCTCAGGCATCCGCAGGTCACTGAGGGCTGCAAGGCGTTGTGGGCATGGCCTATGCCGGAGTGCACTTCACGGCAGAACAAACTCCTTCCAAGCCTTCCTCAGATGGGGCCGGAGCTAAAGGGGTCCCAGATGCTGATGACCAGCAGCGTCCAGGTGTCCATCTTCCTAAAGGTGCTTTGGGCATCATCAGTGCTGCCCCGTCTGACCGAACAGGTCGGAGGCCAGTGCTCTTGGCTTCCATCTTGCTCCTGAGCTTGGGGGCCTTCCTTGGCTTGCGCGCAGGTGGAACCCGTGATCCTCGCCATGGTGCGGGGCTGTTACCCGGATAGTGGGGACCGCTTGACCATCATCGCAGCACGAGAGAGCATAGTCTCCCTAGGCACCTCCCTCGCACCTGTGTTTGGGGGCCTGGTCGCCACATGGTTCACTTGGCGGCCCAGGTGCATTATTGACGGACAGCTTCTTCAGAGCCTGCTGATGAGCGAGCTGAGGCGAGGCTGCCCAGCTCGCTCATCAGCAGGCTCCTGTTGGACAACACAGAATGCGCATCAAAGCTCTTCTCGCCAACATTGCAGCCGTGTAAACCAGTGCAAGCATGTGGGACGGGATCGCACGCAGCGGTCACTGCAGCGCGCCTCTTGCATCCAACACTTTGTCAACAGTAATGGTCGTTTATCAATCGCTCCTGCCGCTCCACTGACTTGAATGCTGCGTCGCCCTCCTTGAACTTGAAGGGCGACGTAGCATTCAAGTCATGGGAGACGCAGGTGCGATTGATAAACGACCATTCCTGTTGACAAGGGCATCTTTTCTTGGATCGTTAGCCGCAGCCGCGGTCGAGGGGTGCCTCTTCTCCATACGGACCGTGGTGGCATGTAGCGGTGAACACCGGGAGCTGAACCGCTTTCGGCATGGGCGCAGGCGCGCAAGGGGGGCATCCGCAATGGCTTCAAGATCGGCATGGGCTCGGGGCTACAATGGCTACAACATGTGCCTGGTCTACCTAGGTTCTGCCTTAGCTTTTTCGGTTTGGCGTGACTCTTCGCTATCGCAGCCAGATCAACCCGGCCACAGGACAGGAGTGGCAGCCAGGCAGCAGCATGTACATGCAATCCTAGAATTAGCTCTGGACTCTGGATCTGAGGACACGTTCCTATTTGGTTCTTCTAGCTGATTTCTTATTAAAGGCTTTGCAAGGACCTGAGGACCTGTTTCAATTCGCAGTTGGTCCGTAAGGGCTTCGCAAGTCTCAAGTGCGCTCCAAAGCCTTCCGGGTCTTTCGAAGGCGACTGGCCTACTGCCACCTTCTGCAGAGACCTGGGGAGCTATTTATGTGACTTTGTCTGTGAAAGGGTGTCTCACGTGCGAGTACTTGTGTGGGAAACCTGCCTGTCAACTTCTTGTTGAACTCGACGCCAAACATCGGCTGAGTGCAAGGGATGCCGCGGTGAAGCATGTTGGGTTCCGTCAGTGCGCTGCCAACACCCTTCAAGTAAGTGCAAAACATTGCAAAACCACGGAGAATCTTTCACAAAGGTTCGCTGGATCCTTTGTAAACGGGCGACTTGCGCGTGGTCGCCAGTCCTTTCGCACTTCCGTTGAATGCCAGTCAAGCTTTGAGGTCAGGTGACAGTTCAGGCAACCTCCGCAAACCCTATTTTGGTTTTTCCCTGCAACAAGCACACAAACAGTGGAACAACGAGTCTCAACCATAGTGTTTACAAACCCAAGACATGTTTAAACGCCATGCGGTTTTTGTGCAATGATAAACGTTTAAGTCAACTTTTCAATTGCAGAGTTTAGGGATTAGGGTGTACGGGGGGCAGCTATGCACCCGGAAATGGATGTTTCCTATTGAAGGTGAAAAGGAAAAAACGAGTTTTTGCGATTTCGCACATTTGGCTTGAGCTGAAAGTGAAGGTGCCAGGTGCCAGAGAGTTAACAGTTCGGTACACAAGCCGGACTTGCTGCAGGAGACAGCTTAGGCTTTGGCAGTGAAAGCATTCTGAGAAAGTTGGGTAAACCATTACTTTTTAGAAAGAACTTAAAACGGCATTTTAAGTTCAGCAACCAAGGTTTCAAGTTTACAAGTCAAGGTTTTAAGCTCAGAAACCAAAGCCTTAAGTTTATATTCTATTTTTCCACAGAATCCAAAAAACCATAAAACAAGAAAACTGTTATGCTGAATTTCTGACATTTTCAAAATTCTTAGTTTTTTATATTGCAAAATGTTTTATATACCAAAACTATTTGAAGATTGTTGGTGGAAAGAATTTTACGTGTTTTTTCAAGGCGTTACCCGACTCAGAAGTTCTTCGCGCATTTTGCCTACACTGGCTGGGAACTTCCAGCGAGGTTCGTGCACTGCGACAAAAAACGTCGCGAAGATATCGTCATTGACGACCAAAAGTGCTTCAAGACTTTCTTTTCGAGAGCATGCTACAGCAAGATTTGGTTTGAGTGCTTTCATCAGTCAATCAACCAATCAATCGATGAATCTCCTCAGATCAAATTTCCTGTTGCTTGCATGGAAGTATGTTGTCACGACCCGTGTCTGCTAACGTGCCAGGTGTCTGGAGGTCAGGCGGGGCATTCGGCTTCAACCACAACCCTGGTGGATGGGAGAAGGTTGGTGTCAACCGCTTTCCGTGCGATTTGCAGTAAGCTGATGCGCCAGGTGCTGCAGATTCTTTCGATCGTTCAAGGAGGGGCCCTTGCTAAGTGGAACGAGGGGCGAGTGGGCTGCGCAGTATTTGGGCCTTGTGTGGGGAGCGCTTGCGCAGGCCCAGAAACATGCAGTTCAGCCAAGCTGCCGTTGGATTTGTGCTCATGACGCGGCTTACCCGTCTGGGCCTGTCGTGAGACCCGTCATACCACTTGTCTCTCTAGATGCTCCAGCGCGCGTCTGGGGTGTCGTACTCATCATACTCATTTGTCTCCCACTTGTCTCCTACCCCCAACGGGAGACAAATGAACCCAAGACAGGCGTCAGCGCGCCCAGGGTCTGCTCCACACAAATGCGAGACAAATGAAAGACAAATGAGATAAATGGATGCACCAATCCCCAAATGGGCTTCGCAGCATTTAGGGGGTCGGGTGTGACTTGCCCGGCCTGGCCTGGCCCTAAGCCTTACTGCGCTGCTACTGCAGACGTATGCAGCAGGGGCCTGGCCTGCGTCTCGCTGATGGATGCAGCAGCGCCCGGGATAGGGATCAAAAAACAAAGAAGGGTCAAAAACAAAATATAGAATGTTCAAAAAAATAAGCCCTAAACCCTAGGCCCTGAACCCTAAGCCCTAGGCCCTGAATCTTAAATCCTAAACCCGAAACCCTAAGCCCCAAACCCCAAACCCTAA